CGAGACATATAATGGCATAGTCACACGTTTACAATCACACATGGACATTTAAGCTACCAAATTTTAGATTCTCCACCAAATTTGCCAGCCATACGTGGAATTTAAAAGAAAAAAAAAAGTAGCAGCGACCCGGTCGTAAGGTGGGAAAATTTTAAAAAAAAGGTTAAAAACTTATAATTATTATACCCGCATTTGCAAACTATACCAATATGAGACATTAGCAAGTATGACATACCCGAATCCCCAAAATGTTTAAATAAAATATTTTAAGCACTTGCTGACATATAAAAGAAAAAAAATATTAAGTGAATATGAAGCCGGTTAAAAAAATCTAATTTAAAACCTCACTGTTACTCATTTGACACACTAGCCTCCCTACCCTCCATAACAATTAAGTTAGATATTTGCTTTCCCTCTTCAGTATATACACCTACAGCACACTTGCATTCCTGTTCCGTTCCGTGTTTTCGTGCTTTTCGTCAACCTTCTGGTTTCCTTTCTTTCAATTTCAATCATCAGGCACCTGTTATGTTTTTTTATAATTATGTAACATTCTTTCTGTTTTTTTTTTTTATTATTTTTAAATAAACCTTTAACGTGGTTATTTTAAAAGTATCGTCCGAAGAGACCGTCAGGTCAAAACCATGGTCGCGTATTTTAATTGACCTCCTGATATTTAAAGTGTATATATATATATATATATATATATATATATATATATATATATATATATATAATCGACTCTCCCCGTCATGATTCGACGTATGAGGTCAAGCAGATCAGTTTCCACGAAACCGACAGCCCGACACCAGCACATGAGATTTGATTATAGTGGTGAAGGCCTCGTGCAGGACCATCCACACTTTTTGAAGGGACGAATACAGAGACCTGGTGCACCGAATGCCACGAGGTTCCCAAACGACCCTCCACAGGTTTTTGAATTCAGTGTTGTCCTTCTCCTAGACCAGTTGCCTTCCAAGGCTATAGAACCCAGTCTGTCTTGCTATTTTATCCATAGCTGGAGAGAGAGGAAAGGGATTCATACTTTTCACACATATATATATATATATATATATATATATATATATATATATATATATATATACAAAACTGAAAACGTATTACGATTAATCTTTTATTTAATTTATCTTATGTTCATACAAGTGTTTTTCTTCTAAAGAAAAAAAACTGGCCAAAAGATCTGCATTACCGAGGAATTTCGGCTATACTTTAAGCCATTATCAAGATGTTTTTTTTTTTACTTTTTAACTGAATATATGTGTTCTCTACGTTCATCTATTTACAGGGATGTTTTATTTTCCAAACGCGTTCAGAACATTGAGGCCGTGTTCGTAGTTAATGTCAATTCGTCAATTGTAGCACTTTCGTATTTAGTGAACGTCGCCTTTACTCCGTTCATGTCTGTTGCCTTTATAATGTTTTTGAACGTTCTGTTGAAACAGTGCTGTTGTACGAAGTTACTGCTCGGTCCTGGCAGCACTTGTCCTATGACCGTTGCTGTCCATCCGTTACCGTCTCCGCCGTCCGACGAATTCTGCTGACTGCTTTCACCAGTGTCCATGTCTTGTAGAAGACAAGTATCACCAACACTATTAATACTATCGAGTTGGTAGCTGTCGATATCAGCTAAACTGTTCTATGTCGATCAGGTGAAAGCGACACCATTGCTAGCCTTTTTAGAATCGACCAGTAGTAGTTCTTTTGCTGCTGGAAGAATTCTGTCTTTGCCGGATCTATATATATATATATATATATATATATATATATATATATATTGGTAAACGATATATAAATTGTTATTTATCAAGAACAATTTCAGGAATATCTCTGACAATGGAAATTAAATATTCATGTGACGCAAATCATACTTTATAGTAAACTGACGTATCCGTTGATATGATTATACACACGAATGAAGGAGGTGGGCAGTGAAATTTTAAATTAATTAATTTTTTTAAAAATAAATGTTTGGTGTGGACATTTGAAAACAGGAAGAAACTCATCTTATGAAAGTGCGATGTTGATAGTTGGAAGTACTAGATGCAACGTTTTTCTTTATTGATAACGTAATCGCCGAGTCAAAACCCATCATGCTGAGAGATCACTTAATAGTCTAAATGGTTAGTTGAAGTCCTCCGTTAGTGATGTCAACTGAGCGAGCCACTTGTCCATTACTACATAGTGTTAAGAGGCTGGCTGAATAATGTTTTCCCTAACTGGATTAGCGTACATGAACGCGAGTATTGGGCTATTTCTACATATATTAGTCTCCTTGACTTTTTGCCTCGTAAATGATGAAGGAAAACGTTTACAGGTGGTACCCAGACTACATAATCACTTTGTATAGATAAATTAAGAAAAAAGATATAAAAATGCTTAAAAAATGTGATTTTCAATGAGACAGACATACGTTGAAAGATTCAAATTTATTTATGAACTTTCAATTATTCATAACACTGTGTTGCACTAGGGTGTAACTGGAGTGAACTAGGGTAGATAGATTATATCAGTGATATAATAACGCTGTAATTCACAGAGGGAACAAAATGGACGAAACGAAGTGTAATGATAAACATGCTTTGTTCTCAGAGGGAGGTTTGTACTCCAAGGACATACACAAAACTATATATACAAGGGTCTTACGCGGATATTAATATATCACTTATATCTACACAATAAAGCAGTATGCAAGGAGAAATAAGAACGAATGCCTTAGATATAACATGGAGATATTCCTGTATATGGAGAAGCCATTTTTAGGACTTCATATTTAAACGGACCGGATTCATGTATGTACCAGGTGAGGAAATATTGCACGAACGATAAACAGTAAGTTTTGGGTTTTTCTAAATTGTGGACTGCGTGTTGGAGTTTCCTTCTATATCTGGGAAAGACATATATTTTCAAATAGAAACGGCACCATTGACTTTTAAGCTGCCGGGAAAGCAGATTTAGTCTTTTCCTGAGTCAGAGGGCAGCTACAAAAAAAAAAAAAAAAACTGACATAGTGGCTGCTGTAAATGAACTGAATCTGACCACCGCTTTAGTCACTACATGAAATATCGTCATTAAGCGGCCGTCACATGACGCACGTGGCTTATCTCCACCAAAGGGTGGTAAACATCTTCTGTATCCTTATAACGGAAAGATTTAAAGATATTACCCTTTTTTTCTGAGATTACCTCGGAAGGTGGTCCCCCGATATAAGACATTGATTGATTTGTATTTACAGCTTATCAACACTTATTTAAAGCTGAAACATATCTTAGAATATTCTTTTCGGGTGAATATTTCTTTAGCATTATTTTTAGCATAACAATGATATATTTTCCCCGATTACAAAGCCTAATATTTAACCCATAGCTGGGAGTGGGGAGATGGATTTATACTTTTCCCAAGAATTTTTAAGGGGTAAGATGAACACGACTGAACTTCGAACTAGGCACGTTGCTTTTTCATTCGAAGATATTATTCTCTGATCCATCCGCATATCTACGGAAAATTCAACTATATGTTCTTATTTCGGAAATAGATGGATTGCGCAAATTATTGCCGATATAAAGGTGCGTTTCCTGGTTTGATCAGACGAGTAATGCCACCTTTATATAGACAATAATCTGTGCGTTGCTCTTTTTTACTTGAAACAAGAATCTGTGGTCAAAATTATGCATTGTTTTCTAGGAAATATCCTCTGATGACAGTAAACCTCACCCTAGCCCTGCCATCTTTCGCGGACGCTCTCTATTTGTGCATAATTGAACGTAGATTTTAAGAATAGGAATTGAACGGATTTGATTTTATGGGACAAGTTAGAATTCTCCATGAAATATCTCCAAAGTTTTGAAGTGTACACATTTGACTAGGAAAGAACAAAGATTTCTTCGTGATACTGTCAGGAATTGTCGCAATATTTCTTCTGTTTTAGAGAACATATTAGAGGTTTTGATCAGCAAAATAAGCGGCGATATTTTTTTTTTTTTTTTTTTTTGTTGTCTTCGGTGGCTTTTTAGTCTACAGTCGTTCTAAATGGACGGAGTGATGAACGGGCGATGACTAGATGTGAATTTCATGCGAAACAGGAAGAATTCTCGTTTTACGACTGCCGGTAAAATTTGTCCTGCAAACAAAATTTTGCAGATTCATGCGAATCTGGATGGAAAAAGCAGAGAATTTCAATAAATAACCACGAATAAAAATATTAAGGTAGGTAGGTAGGTAGATAGATAGATAGATATGAACAGAATGAGATAGAGAGAGATAGATATGAACAGAATGAGATAGAGAGAGAGAGATATGAACAGAATGAGATAGAGAGAGAGAGATATGAACAGAATGAGATAGAGAGAGAGATATGAACAGATTGAGATAGAGAGAGCGAAAGAGAAAGAGAGAAAATAACAGAAAGTGATAGAAAGATATAGAGAATGAAGTAGATATGAACTTTATCTCTCTCTCTCTCTCTCTCATATATATATATATATATATATATATATATATATATATATATATATATATATATATACGCACATAGGTAGATAGTTTGATAGATATATAGATAGAGGCGGAAAAAGAAGGAAAGAAAGGAATACATTGCTATATTGACAGAAAATACAGAGATAGATACGAACAGAGTGTGATAGATAAATAAATAAGAACAAAATGAGAGAGATAGATATATAGATACATACATACATACATATATTCAGATATTGAGACATAGATATAGACGACGAAGAAGAGACAGAGAGATAGAGAGATAGATAGATAAAAGAAGAAATAGATAGATACATACAAACATACATACAGATATTGAGACACAGATATAGACGACGAAGAGGAGACAGATAGATAGAGAGAGATAAAAGAAGAAATAGATAGGTAGATAGATAGATATAAACCAACTGATATAGATTAATATTTAAAATGAAATAGGAAATATTCCTTTATATTACTTAAGGGCAAAAACTATTAAATCGTTATATTTTAAAATTTACCTCAATTTTGCTACCTGTCTTAAAATTAGATGTCTTCAGGGAAAATCAAACGAATTATATTGGTCTTCGAGTTTAGATCAGCGCTATTTATGCTACACGGAACTGCTTAAGCTCTCTACCTCTCTCTCTTTATCGACACACAGACAGACATGCACAGAGATGCACACACAAAACACACACACACACACACACACACACACATATATATATATATATATATATATATATATGTGTGTGTGTGTGTGTGTAGACATAGATTAATCAGCGCATACTTTTTTGAAAAGTGATTGTAGGCACTCACTTGAAAAATGATTCATTTTGCTAAAACGAGGTGAACAATTTACGGGCGATCACACAGAGATTTAATATTATTTTGGGGCTCTGTCGTATTTGAATTTTTTAAGGTTTAGCGTCTATTATTACTACACACATACACACACACACACATATATGTATATATATATATATATATATATAAGGCAGGATGTGTGTGTGTGTAACGAATGCACGGCCACAACTTTCGACATATTTGCATGCACATGCACCAAGTTAGTGACAAGGCCAATTCCGACTTTGCATTTCCCAACTCCCGTCGATAGTGGAAATAATCATTTTCATTTTTCATGCTTCTACGGCAGTTTTCATGTAGTTTACGGCCATTTTGTACTGGCCAGAGTGAGGGCTTATAGCTGGCTGCCAAGAATAGGCAGGAAGATTCTATTAGCCAGCGTGAGAGCCAACAGCTGACTGACACGAATGTCAACTAGCATGCTAGCATGCAAAAAAAATCGATAGCGGCATTCGTCACAAGTGGGAAAAATTTAAATCTGCATGGCACTTTACTCCAATTGGCTCATTCGCATGCTTAAACTCAACGTTGATTCTGATTCCGCAGAACTGGGTTGGGTGTGAAAAAAGTATTTATTTTAACATTCTTTTTTTATTCGGTTTTTCCAGTTACGAGTCCTTTTTTAAAGCTGATCGTTTTGTTTTTTGTTTAGTTCTTTTTTTCGTAACAGATTGAATTTTTAGTATAGAGCTTAGAAAAAATTCGCAGTGTGAGATATAGGCAGAAGTAAGGCATGTAGCAACATCAGCATGGCAAAAGGCACTCCTTTAAAAAGGCAAGGAAGGGCAAAAATATTTTAAGTCAAGTGATAGCGATTGCTGTATGAGTCGTACGATTTTGAATCAAGCGCAGGTAACGCCAGGCCATCCTGCTGTATATATATATATATATATATATATATATATATATATATATATATATATATATACAGAAATCGAAAACGTATTGCGATTAATTTTATTATTTAATTCATACAAGTGTTTTTCTACAAAAGACAAAGTGTGTAAAAACTGGCCCAAGATCTGCATTTCCGATGAGTTTCGGCTATACTTTAAGCCATTTTCAAGATCTTATTTTTAATTTTAACTGAATATATGTGTTCTGTATATTCATCTAAACTTAGGCCGTGTTCGTAGTTTATGTCAGTGACTGTTGGCATTTCTTTTTTATTATCAGTGTTCACATTATTTTGAATTTTTTTTACATGGGGATGATTTTTTTATTTGGACAGTTTTTACACACGTTGTGTCCAGAAGAGAAAACATTTTTACAAACACACAAAATAAATCGCAGTACCTTGTCATTCCTCTTTAACAAATCACTTATAAAAGAAGGATTGCTGCCTAAATACGCCGTGTGTGTGTGTGTGTGTCTGTGTGTGTGTGTGTGTGTGTGTGTGTGTGTATTTCGACGTACAAAACGTTAGGAACTTGATATAATAGGTATAACGCAGATTAATCTAGTTGTGGTCGCTGATAGTTTAGTATTCGACTAAGTGTCGTCCGACATCGTCTGACTGACTGACCGACTCCCTCGTTACTCTTACTACACCTATTTACTATAGGTGAGAGAGTCTATTAACTATAGAATAAGTGTGTTCCACAGTAACACACACACACACACACACACATATATATATATATACACACACACTTTATATATATATATATATATATATGTGTGACGTCATTTGTTTACATTTGGATAGGCATTGAGCAGATATGAATGTACGTGAGAGATTCATGGAAGACTCGTTTAAATGCAGTAAAATCGACCTTGCTAACCGAACGATCCTCTGTGGCTGAATAGGTTAAGGCACATCAGTCTATATGAGGGTTCCGTATAGGATACAGTTTCGATTCCTGTCGCAGGACGAATATTTTCTATGAACATTTCTCGGACATTTAGACCGGTAAATGTTGTTTAATACTGTTTATTATAAACAGAGCATTTACTTAAATATTTGTATCTATAAAAAAGAAGAAAAATGTCTTTATATATATATTCTAACTTATTCAATATGATTTTACCCTCTAACCCTCTCAACGTGAGAGTAACCTATTCGTATTCGTAGATAACTTCCCCTATTTGCCTCCACATTTTCATGTCCGACCCCTTATCCAGTTTCTCTCTATTACATTTTTCAAGTGATTTTTTCACCGTCATAGATGAACTTCCTATTTCAGTGATTCTTGCGACAAATAGTGTCAAGATGGCTGAATGACTTATCTGAAGACCTGAAAAAAAATTTCAATTCGTCTAATTTAATTGTCCATCCCAAAAAATGTGTAATATATACAAAAAAGACACTAAACTAATCAAGTTTCTTTTCTTTAGGCTTTCAGGTAACATATTTAGCCATCTTAACTTAATTTTTTGTAAGATTTACTAAAAAAATAAACCCTTTGTGTCATTCAGCTAAAAATAGAGTAGGTTAAAATTGTTCTCTTTTTAGCTGAATAACTGAAAGGTTTTTTTTCAGCGATTCTTACAACAAATGGTGCCAAGATGGCTCAACGCCTTACCTGAGAATCTGGAAAAAAAACATATATCTTTAGGTATGGAAGGATAGTAATCAATAATGTCGAAATGTATGAAAGTGCAGTGGTCCTTATTGTTGTAAATAATATTTTATAGTCTGTTTGAATTCATTTACTAAACTTTTCAAAATTGTATCATTGTAGGTTGCTATATGTGTGTGCCATTATTAATGTATGTGTGCATCATTATACTTATTATAATACCCAGGTTGTGTGTGTGTGTGTGTGATTAAATTTAAAACTGGTAATTTTTAATTTTCAATTTCATAGTAAAATGTAATAGTAATTAGTTAGAATGATTTCTATTCTAGTCTAACCTTAACATTAAGCCATTAATAATTATAGACAAGGTTTGTTGTCAAATGATTGAATTCTCATATACTTGTATTTTGACTACTCTATCAAGGGCTGCTTGCTTGATTTGAACCTTTTAAAACACTTTATTCTACATTCAACACTATAACTTGCTAAGACACCAGAAGTGTTGAAACCAAATGGGTATTGTTGTAGTGATTTTTATAACATATTTATCTTATAATTTTCCAATAAATTATATATATATATATATATATAGCAGAATGAGAAGCTACGTATACGTTCTTAATATGTATATATAGAAAAAGTTGCAAATTAAAAAAAATAATAATGTTTTTTTATGAAAATATTTTTTTATTTATATATATATTTGATATTTCAGATTGAAAAACCTGAGGAAATATTTCCAAAATTGAGGAAATATTGAGGTCAATCTGAAATATCAAATATATGTAAATAAATAAATACTTTCATAAAAAATATTATTATTTTTTTAATTTGCAACTTTTTCTATATATATATATATATATATATATATATATATTTCATTAAATGATATAGTGTTGTCTATTTATTTTATGTAAACTCTTTTCATAACGTCTAATAAGTTTAATAACATTATCATTGAACGAAGAAAGAAATTCACAATATTGATCCATATTTTTTAATACAATCTAAGCTTTCGGCTTATCAAGCCATTATCAAAGATGTCATTTACAACATATTAAGCAATATACGGACAAGACAGTGATGACAGTCTGTGAATGTTTGCATAGATGATCTCTAAGCAACGATAAACACGTGCATATAAGACGCGAGAAGCGAAAATCGCACCGCATCTCATGACGTCACATGACCACGCGAGTGAATTGGAGAAGTATAGTATGGAAAGCCGTTGGCACAAACCAATAGCCTCCGTCGCCAACTACAGATATTTAAGGATATTTTAGAGATTCCATAGTTGATTTTTGCTTAGGTTTGGTTTCAACTGTTTGATATATAATGCTTCAAAAGGATTTTTAGTTTTTGTCTATTGTTTTCATGTCAGTATAATTATGTTTTTGAACCAAGTATTTTACGGAATTGTGTGTGCAGGCAGGCATGTTGTTTTAAATGCCTATATATATATATATATATATAATATATATATATATATATATATATATATATATATATATATATATATATATAATATATATATATAATATATATATATATAATATATATATATATATATATATATAATATATATATATATATATATATATATATATATATATATATATATATATAAGTGTGTGTCTGTCTGTGTGTGTTTTCTGTGCCTGTGCTTATATATTATTGTTATCTGTATAGCCTAACTCTTTAATGTCCATAATATCATATATTTACAACCCTATAATTAATACTGATTCTCTTAGAAACTTTTTTTGTTATTGTTCTTACACACAATACCGGCTTTTTATAAAACTATAATTCGCTGATCTTGTTTAAAAGAACAGGCGCAGAATGAAACAAAATAAGACAATAGTGAGTAGATAGGACAATAAATGAACAGAATTTACGAAGACAGGATGGAGATATCCATTATGTTCTTTTCTTTTTGCTTTCAAATGCGACGGTTGACAGTTCATGCTTAGCGTTCATTAGAACGTAAAAAAAAATTATCCGCCATGGAATTTTTTCTATTCTGTGTCCTAATGTTATCGTCACTGGCGCATTAATGCGGGAAAAACTGCTCTTTTTATAGACATTTCAGAATATTAATGCATTTTTGTTTTAACATACAACGTGTGTTAGCAGGTGCGATACCCTGTCTTCATCAGCCGCCGACCAGGGGTGATATCATGGTTTCGGTGGCTATGGCGAGACCACCACCCCTGGCGCCACCAGCAGCGTTTGCCTCCAGGCAGGTTATGAAGATAAGCTAATTGATCGTTCCTTTAAGTAAAATGTATCTGCAATGAAAGTTTCCTGAACGCGTTTGCTGTTATTGACGCGCTCGTAAAAATCGTTATAGACGACCATGCAAATACCTCACTTGCGCATGTTAGGTCGTTATACGTCGTATATTCAGTGGCGATTTTAATTTTTGAATATTTACAGTATTGGA